GGAAGGTGGCTCAGTGGTAGAGTGCTTGCCTTGCATGCCTGAGGCCCTGGGTTCGATTCCTCAGCACCACATAAGAAAAAAGAAAAAAGCCAGAAGTGGTGCTGTGGCTCAAGTGGTTGAACGCTAGCCTTGAGCTGAAGAGCTGAGGAACAGCGCCCAGGCCCAGAGTTCAGGCCCATGACCAACAACAACAACAAAAAAAAAAAAGCTGAAAACCAAGGACATATCCTAAAGGAACATTTTCAGTAACAGGAAAGCAAATACACAAAAGGAAGAAGTCAGCAAAAGTAGTAAAATGGATACTATCAGAAAAAAAACACAAAGTATTCTATAAGGAACACAGAGGAACCACACAAACATGATCAGAATGAAAGAATTCAGTAACAAAAAGTACAAACTGTATGATTTCATTTATATGAAGTAGTAGTTTAAAACTAATTATAATGAAGAGGTCATGAGAATACCTTTGGAGAAGGGTAATAATGGGAAGAAAGCACGTAAGAGTACTTTAGGATACTTAAGAATATACTCCATCTTGATCTGCATAATGTCCATATAAGTGCATTGTTCAGTAAAATTTATGAGTTGAATATATCTTTTATTTGTATACTGTACATAAGTCAAACCTCAATTTAAAAAAAATTACTAGCCAGGCACCAGTGGCTCACACCTGTAATCCTAGCTATTCAGGAGGCTGAGATCTGAGGATCACTGTCCAAAGCCAGTGCGAAACTCATCTCTAATTAACACCAGAAAACCGGAAATGGCGCTATAGCCCACGTGGTAGAGTGCTGGCCTTGCTGAAGAGCTCAGGGACAGCACCCAGGCCAAGTTCAAGCCCCACAACCAACTAAAAAAAAAAAATTACTGAAGCCCAGTGCTGGTGGCTCACACTTGTAACCCTAGTAATCCTTGCTACTTAGTAGGCTGAGATCTGAGGACTGTGGTACAAAGCCAGCCTAGGAAGAAAGGCCATGAGACTCTAATCTCCAATTAACCACCTAAAAACCACAAGTAGAGCTGTGGCTCAAAATGGTAGCACACTAGCCTTGAGCAAAAAAGCTCAGGTTCATACCCAGGCCCTGAGTTCAAATCTCATGACCAAAAAAAAAAAAAAAATACTGATAACCTTGAAGACATTAGTTTAGGAAAAGTATTAGTGTACAAGATAAACTATAGGGCTGGGAAGTTGGCTCAGTGGTAGAGTGTTTGGCTCACATGCATGAGGCCCTGGGTTCAATTCCTCAGCACCACATAAGCAGAAAAAAGACAGAAATGGCGCTGTGGCTCAAGTGGTAGAGCGCTAGCCTTGAGCTGAAGAGCTCAGGGACAGCGCCCAGGCCCAGAGTTCAGGCCCCACGACCGGACCCAAAAAAAAAAAAAGATAAACTATATTAGGATTGCATATAAGTGAATAAAATTAAAATAGTGAACACAAACTCATTTTTTTTTTTGGTCCAGTCATGGGGCCTGAACTCTGAGCCTTGGCGCTGTCCCTCAGCTCTTCAGCTCAAGGCTAGCGCTCTACCACTTGAGCCACAGCACCACTTCCGGCTTTTTATTTTCTGCTTATGTGGTGCTGAGGAATCAAACCCAGGGCCTCAGGCATGCAAGGCAAGCACTCTACCACTGAGCCACCTTCCCAGCCCCACAAACTCATTTTTCAAGAAGAGTACTGGTGAAAAAAAAGTGATAAAGCAGCTTGGATGGTATAGACAACTCAAAAAGTTACATTTTTGTTTTGGTTTTACTTGAAATATAAGAACATAGGGCTTGGAGGCATGGCTGAGGTCTTAAGAGCACCAAGCAATGAACAAAGTAAGCCTCAGATACCAAGTTCAGGTCTCCAACAACAACAAAAAAGAAAATATAAGAACAAGAGAAAAATGTAACTAAAAACATATCTAACAAGACTCTTAACAGATAAGAGGGGATGAAATCAATTATACCAGACAGTAATTAATTCCACAACAAAGGAAGACTACCACTTACTCTGAGGTTGAAACTAAGGATAAATACAAATCCTAGGACAGAAAAAAAAAGCAAAATAATCTTGAACTTCTCACTGAAGCATGCAATAAGGACAACTATAGCAGGTAAACTAAGTCATGAAAGAATCCGGACTTAAAGTACATATTTAAAGGTTTTTGAAGCTGGTGCCAGTGGCTCACACCTGCAATTCTAGCTACTCAAGAGGCTGTGATCTGAGAATCCTAGTTCAAACCCAGCCCAGCAGAAAAAGTTAACCATCAAAAGCCATAAGTGGAGCTGGACTCAAGTGACAGAGTGCCAGTTGAGTGAAAAGCTAAGGGACAATACCCAGGTCCTTATTCAAGTCCCAGTATCAGCACAAAAATAAAATAAAATAAAGGGCTGGGAAGGTGGCTCAGTGGTAGAGTGCTTGCCTTGCATACATGAGGCCCTGGATTCAATTCTTCAGCACCACATAAGCAGAAAAAGCCGAAAGTGGTGCTGTGGCTCAAGTGGTAGAGGGCTAACCTTGAGCTGAAGAGCTGAGGGACAGTGCCCAGGCCCAGAGTTCAGGCCCACAACCAACAAAAAATATAAATTAATTCGTTAATTAATTAATTTTTAAATAGCCAACTGTAGCTGGGCACCGGAGGCTCACACCTATAATCCTAGCTACTCAAGTGGCTGAGATCTGAGGATCAAGGTTCAAAGCCAGCCCAGGCAGGAAAGTCCGTGAGACTCCCCAATAAACCACTAGAAAACCAGAAGTGGCGCTGTGGCTCAAGCAGTAGAGCGCTAGCCTTGAGCTGAAGAGTGCGGGGACAGTGCCCAAGCCCAGAGTTCAAGCCCCACAACCAACAACAACAACAAAAAAAGCCAGCAGAAAGCCAGAAGTGGAAATGTGGTTCAAGTGGGAGAGCTCCAGATACCATCTCCAGAACGTGAGGCACAAAACCAGGTTAGTTTGTTTACTTGTTCTAGTTCGTGTTTTCCTTTCTGGAGTTTGAACCCTGGGCCTTGACCTTGTCACTCTTAACCACCTGAGCACCAATCCCATCCCATGTTTTAAAAGTTTTGAATAGAAGCTGCCTAGGTATCCATGGCTCACAACTGTAATGATAGCTATTCAAGAGACTGAGAGCTCAGGATTGCTGTTTGAAGCTAGCCCAGGCAGGAAAGTCCATCAAACTCCTATCTCTAACTAACACTAAAGAGCCAGAAGTAGAGCTGTGGCTCAAATGGTAGAACATTAGCCTTAAGTAAAAGAGCTCAGGGACAGCACCCAGACCCTGAGGTCAAGACCCAGGACCAACACCAAAAAAAAAAAACTTGGAAACTTAGGGTTATTGGACAGGGTACTGGGATTACAGTAACTGGATATTGCCCAGCAGCCTGGAAGCAACAGCAGAGATGGCCAGTGGTTCAGTTTACTCAAGGATCAATGAATAAAAGATGGAGGAAGAAAAAAAAAGAATTAAAAGAAAAAAGATGGGCTAACAGATGCATCACTAAAACTATATAATAATGATGTTCAATGAAGATAATTTATTTAACTAAGAGGAAACAGCCTGGAGACCTATATGAAGTCCTGATTCAGGGATGAAAATAGAATCTGAAGAGATGTGTGCAAAAGAAAAGCTGTCACTAAGAGATCCTTACCTCAGAACATTTTTCTGCAAACCCAACCAAGATCAAGGATCATGTATCTCCTTTCACTGAACTTCCTACTGCTACTGACCTTTATCCCCTATTCATAAATAAACCTACTATTGTCTAATAAATTATATAAACTCACCCTGTCGACTGAGAAGCCAGAGGAAGATTTTTACACTGCTTTCTATCTTTCTCATTAAGGTGTTTTCAGTGGCAAACTGAAAAGCAAGAGCCTTGATCTATGAATTCTCTATTCACCGCACTGGGCTTGGGATCTTATTCATGAAGTGTTTTTGTTTGTTGTGGGGTTCGTTTGTTTGTTTTGAATGTTCATAAAGTAGATGGCTAAGAAGAATGCCAAAAGATTCTGAACACACTAGTACAAAATTAGAGATGACCAGATCAGAGAACATCTATTAGAAATGTCCCCTTATGATTGATGGTAGGGACAACTCTAAACACCATTCAATTGACATGCCTCTCCTAACGCTACATATTCTTCTGCATAATTCAATAAATACCCACTTTAGTAAGCCTACACTTTGCAGCTTATTCGCCCAGCCCACATTCCATCGCCCCTTCTCATCCGGACATCCAGAACCCCTGGCTCCTCAAGACCTTTTTTATTTTCTGTTTAATTCTCCTACTGCATTTCCAGTTTAACCCCAAGCCACCACATTCATTTCCACTCCCCAATTTCTCTCACACCTCCTCCCAAACTCCCCAGTCCCCACCCCCACCCCACCCCCCAAGCTTCAGTCGGGGTCCCTCAGCCCGAGGTCCCCTCCCCCACTCTCCCATTCAGATCCCTCATCCCAGCCAGGCTCCCGGCCCGACCCCGGCACGACCTACCTGCTCTCTGCCCTCAGGCCCGGTGGGCCCGGTCCTCTCCTCCAGCCGCTGCCTCCCAGGCGGCGCTCGCCGGCGCGGGGCTAAGGGCTGAGGCAGCTCGGCCGCCCGCGGAGCCCCATCCTCCAGGCGGGCGGGAGGCGGTGGTGGCTGCGGTCGGTCGCGGCAGCGGCTCCGCTTCATAGCTAAGGCTGGGCCCCGCGGGGGTTAGCACCGCGACTGTCCCGGCCTCGTACGGCCCCGGGCCGCGGCGATGCCGCGCCAACCACCGCCCGCGGCCACCATGGCCCGGCCGGTCGCCCGAAAGCCACCGATCCTAGCAGCCCGCAGTGTCTCAGCGCTTCCTGCCGGCTCACGCGCCGAGACCTCCCCGGCGTTCCTCACCGAGGAGGCAGCATCGCCGCCGCCCAGGCTTCTGCCTCCCGGC